GTTTATAGCTGGGGGGGGTCTGCATTGTGAAGCCTGTGCCCCATCTTGTATCTCCTATACCTGTACTCCTCTACACTGCATCCTGTGTGTACACATCTCAAGAGCTTTGCTAAGATACCAGTCCTGTATTTCTCTATAGTACATTATTATAATAGACTTGTAAAACCTGGGTAGCTCCATACAATGGCAGAGAAAAGTAAATCAAATTGGCCATGGCTAGCTGATCAATTAGAAAAATTGCTGTTGCAGCTAACCCAAATGTGATAAAGCTGCGGACGGGCCAAAGAAAGCTCAGGCAGAGCGAGCCTCGACAAGCCTCAGTCCTGAGGCCTTGCAAACTCACTACAAAGCCCATGGCCTGTCATTAGTGATGGCAATACATACAGTATTGCAATAAATACAGGGTAGCAGCATTATCAACACAGCTGATGCTTGGCATAATATACTGGAAGAGCTGGAGAATATAGACGGGTTAAATTCTGAGAGAACCTGATAGTTCAGAGTGGGAGATTACTCTCATATGGACTAATAATAAATTCTTGCTTTTATAATCTGGGACCTTGCCAGTTGCTTTGGAAAGAACAGATGAAGGGAAGGGCTTGTGAGTAATAGTTATTAACAGCAAAAAAGCCACCTGCAAAAGGCATATGTGATCCTAGGATGTACTGCATATGCTAGCTTCAATAAGGCTAGGAAAAATAAACACTGGCTCGCCAATAGAGCTTCATCTGAAATTGTCTGGTTTATTCTGGATGCTTGTGTTCAGGAAAGACTTGTTCAGGTGTGAGAAATGGAGAACCTGTCTATGAGTTAACTGCGTGAGTGCAGAGTTGCTCCAGCGAGCTTGACTGGCACGAACTGAGATCCAAAGGTCTAAGGAGCACCGCACGAAAACACCTGGGCTGCCTGGGGCTGCCAGCTTTGGTATGAAGGAAGCAAGCTGCATTTGCAGGGTCTTGGGTTGGAAGGAGTAAACTTTCTCTTGGGCTGTTAGACAAAGCCTGGCACTGCATGAAAGTTTCTGTAGCATTTCTGGACCCATATGGAAGTGTCTGCATGCCACTGTGCAATGCTATGTAGATACTGGTTTGGGTCTCTGGTAGAGCTGGGATTTGTGTGCTGCAGTCCATAGGATAGGTGTTTCCCAAAGCAGTTGATACACTTAGGTGTGTGGACTGTACTCATCACAGCAAGCGAATGACTTAATGAGTCACGGTCAGGAGAGATGAGTGTGATTGTAAAATCAGGTTGGGGGCAGTGAGGGATTTGGAGTGGGAGGCTCAAGATCCCCTCAGAAGGTCCTTCAAACTGCAGCCATAGTGTGACTTCTGCCTGACTCTCTCTCGGGTGCTCAACATGCAATTGAATCCATGGATGGATGGTTGATGAACTCATTAATTTTCTGATTGCCTGCCATTTTTTAATTTTCCTTTCATTTTTTTACTCCCAAGCAGAGATTGACTGTAAAATCAACTGTAAGACTGAAGTAATTCCTGTGTCTCATTTTTGTTGGGAGAAGCTACTTGCTATGGTGCTTTTCAGCTGGGCTTCACTTCTCACCTCGTTACACACTTCATGTTTTCCTAACACTCTCTGTTTTAGTGTTCCACCATCGTTAACTACTTCTCTCTTCTCTCATTCCTGTTTCTGTGCTCTTTCATGATTACTCGCTCTCTTTTTTTGATCTTGTTCCACCTTACCATTAAACTGTTCTAAACTCTCTCTCTTCACCTTTTATATCTTCTGAAGTTTCCTGGAGCTCCCCCCACCCCAAATGTCTCTTTTTCTTCCTTCACTTTTGTTTTTGTCTCTTTCTGTTGGTTGTAAATGCCACTTCCATTTGTTTAAATGCTGCTGTCTTGCTCTGTTTAGGAGCTGTCATACAGGATTTTAGAAATACTTTCCCTTTATGACACGATTTACTTGTTACCATTGATGCAGATAGAAGGCTCGTTACAAAAATCAAAATGTCGAGGAGGAGTCCATTTTGCATATCGTGAAACACTTGATTTTTCATTGCTGTTAGTAGTTTTGGCAGTTCTTTAAATCAAAGGTTGAACTGGATATGTTATCACAGAATCTGATGAAAAGGAAAAGTTGTCACCTTTGAATTTCAAGAAAAGAAACCAAAAAAGACAAAGTTATTTTCAGTGGAATATATTGTTTTCAAAACCAAGTCCAGTCTGACAAGTTCTTCTCTTCATCCATCTTTTTAATGGCCAGCTGAAATATTTGCAAGGAAGACTGAAGATTGAACTCAAGTGATAACTGATAGGTCAGATTTTTTGGCCTTATGAAAAAAAAGTCTAGTATTTAATTGGTACTGTTTATTGGCTGTTTGTAATTTTGTGGGAGCACCGGCCCTTGCTGGTCTATCATGTGCAAAACAATTATGCAGTTTTCTGTAGTCATCCTGATTACATCAAACTCAAGGTGTTGGTGTGGTGTGAGGCAAGGCCTCCATCTGTACAGCATGGCTTTCCACTTGATGGTAATTAATAGGAAAGGCACTTCAGGAAGCAGCCTGGCTCTCTCTGCCAGAGGGATATATGTATCTCTCTCTGCAGGTTGAGTGTTTGCCTTAGACAACTTGGCAAGTGTTTTGGCTGTAGGAAGACCTGAAGTCTTAGGAAAACATGCTATATTAAGGCTCTGTGGGGTTTTGTTTGTAGGGCTTCTGGAAGATTTCAGACTCCAAACCCCAGCTATTTTCCCTGCCTGTTTTGCTGAAAATAATGTCGATCAGATTTGAATTTGAGTCTCTGTCAACTTAATATAAGGCAGCTTCCCTACAGACAGTTATCCGTGGCTCCCGGTGAGTGTCAGCAGCCTGTGGAGTATGTGTGACCACATCCCAGGTCCCTGGGGCAGGCAGCAGGGATGGAGGAGGGAGCCCCAAGCCCACTGCGGGCGTCCCTTGCGTGCGGTGACATCCTGTGCAGCAAACCCACTGGTGCCGCCTTGCTTCAGCTTCTGACACCCCCAACAGCACGCTGGGACGGTGTCTTGGGATCGTGGAAGTATTTATCTCTCTTGCCATATGTGTTTCCACACAAGCTCTTAACTCCCTCTTTCAACGAGGGATTAGATTCTGGTGAGTCATTTGGACGAGAGGAAGCGAGAAGATAAAATGTGGTGAAAATGGGATGTGAGGTGAGGTGCGGTGCTACTGGTGGTGAAGTTTCTCCAAGGGAAAGGGGCTGAGGGGGAAAGTTTTGTGTTTTAACAGTATTGCAGCTGTGTTTGATTATGGAGAACCAGCTTGAAGTAAGCTGGATAAAAAGTCAGGTTGCATATTTGGTTTTTTTATTGCTTATTTTATTTTGTTCATTTCATTTCCTGTAAAACATGAGAGGCTTTAAGTGGAAACATGTAGCAGAAGAAAGGAAAAAACAAACCCAAGCTCACGCAGCACTCGTGCTCTAGCTCTGGGCTCTGAGTTCACTGGAAATACTGGTGGTCCTTTCTTCATGACGGGAAATGGTACTTTCTTTTGGAGTAAACCAAACTGGTGCTAATGACAGCTCTTTCAGAGATTTGAGTGCCAGGTCTCTTGCAGTCTTCACATGAACTTTATTTCAACAAAACTATTAAGTTTTCTCATCTGGCTTCTAGCATGACATTAAAGCTGGATACTTAAAAGTCTCTGTGTTTGGGATTCCTCTCCTGTTTTCCATGTCAATTACAATTATGTTGCTTTTGAGCAAGAGGTTGCCAGCAGGGAATACTGAGGAGTGCCAAATTAAATTTTAAATACATTTTGTTCTTTGTTCATGGTGAGAATTAGTTCTCCCCTAAGATTGCTGTGCTCAGCAAAATGAGATCAGGTTGCCTCTAAACTCTCTGTAACATCAGTGTAGTTGAGTTTTTAAGGCCATCTTAGTGGTAGCACTGTTGACATCTCCTTGAAGGCTGGTGTAGCATGAATGTCATGGGCCCTGGTTGGAGGAGGAAAAAAAAAAAAAAAAATGCTGGAGAAACCTTCCATCCAAGCAATCTCTAGTCCACCGTCTTGGTACCTGGCCACCTACTGGAGAGGTGTGTCTGGGAAATGGGGAGGTTGCTTATTTTTAACATATATATTTCTTATGGCCCTGCTTTCCAATAAACAATGCCAAAATGAGACAATGCAAATTATAGCAAAGTGAAAGGTAAATATGTGTGTAAGCCGTTGAAATCAGGCAGCTCTGAATGACTTTTGGCAATTGGCTCATAACTGATGCTTCACCACCAAGCAAATGTTTTTAATTCCTTTTTATATTTGAATATTTGCTTCTCAAATACAGATTTTGGGTTCATTAGCATGCTATGGATAGCCTCTAGCTGTGTGTGCAAGTCCTATCTCTCTGCCCATTTTGCATTTCAGGCAATTAGCTTAATTTATATTAGAAAGAGACGTTAATTGGCGGGGAAGGAAAAGGTAGGTAGCAACATGCCAATGACAATTAAGATAATAAATCACATATTACCTATATAAGTTTTCATGGAAGAAGCTCTTTTCGGATGTCAGGTAAGCCTAATAAGAATTTGAACCCTTGCAAGGTGGACAGCGTAGCATTCCCTACTTCATATGAATGGGTAAGCTGAAATACAAAGTACATGTTATGTTTAGTTTTACACAATAAATCACCGCCAGAGGTCAGGAAAGAAGAGAGAAGTTCCAGGCCCATCAGGAGCCTCAATTCTCTGACAGGTTTCTAGAAGATGAGCAATAATTTCTGAATTTTCTGTGGCAAAACTCATCTGTAACATCAGCGATGTAGATCAGGGACTTGGTACACAGGCTGGAAAATAATTGTTAAAAGTCTTTGTATTCTCTCTGGAATGAAGATAATTGCCCATTCTGCCACTGGCTAATTATGTTTGACCTGCTTGTGTCTTGTGGCCCTGAAGCACAGCTTCCCAAAAATACTGTAGCTACACTTTAGATGGTGTTCCACTTTTTACGGTCTAACCGGCCTTTTTTTTCTCTCTCTCTCGTTAATCCCTAGAATGCAACAACAGCAACGTCGAATGTTCACAGCTGCCCTCCTGGCACTTGTTTTCATTCTGGCAGCTGTGAGTACCACCGAGGCTGGCAAAAAAGAGAAACCAGGTAAGGTCCGGTGTAATTCAGAGTTAATCCCCAACATAGATTGCATGTGTGGGAGAATGTCAAATGCCTCTGGTTTTGTTATAAAATTCAGGTCATTCGTTAACCTTTTGACATACAGGGTAGGGATTTGTGGCTGTGACATGTTGTTCTGTGTTGAATAGGAAAACAGAAAGTAGTTTCCATGAAAGCTGGCAGCTTAATAGCCCCAGAGACCAGAGTCCTTAGCTTATCACAGAGTGAGTATTGCAAGGCAGCTTAAAATTTGCTCTGGGAATAGGTTCATGCTTGACTTAAGGAGAACCAAACAGGAGTGATGAAACAGTAGTTATCATGTCGCTTGTTCAGTGTTGTATATGACAATGCTACGCCAATGCTGTGTGATGTGGAAATCCTCCGACAAAGAATTGAACTAACTCGCTGCTGCAGATAGACAGCCAGACATCCAGCGGTAATTGCTTTCTGTCACTGATGAACTCGGACCTCATTATAGGAGAGACAGGCCTGGGGTGGAAAATTCATATCTATCAAACCCAGTTTTGACGTTTTTTAGGGAACACATCTTTTGGTGTTTTTCTTAAGGTCTTATTATTTACAGGCTACTTACACACCAGTTAATATGACCTGTGAGTCTATCAGAATTAGTGTTCCCATTAAAAAAACAAAGGTGTTTCTAACCATTGTGGCTGTATGGAAATATGAGAAAATGTGAACATAAATATACAAGAGCTAGAAGGAAAATAATTTTATATAAGGTTATTTAAAGTTACTTGTGATGTTTTGGGGGCCTAACTAATTATTTTTGTGAACCTTTGGGTTTGATAACATTGCTGTCTTGTCTCATCAGACTTGATTTCATTTAGATCCTTATACCCATGATCATTACTTACACCTCTGACCAGCAAACCCACCTGTATTAACAGCATTTTGAGTACAGTTCTCCATGTAGTTTTTTCTTCCCCTTTGGAGTTTTGGTCATATTCTGACATAAAATGTGGCATGGTATACCACGTGAGAAGTTTGTATCCCACAGCTGTTCCCTGGAGGTGCTCAAATCCTCTGATACACAACGTCAACATGTACATTTCTGATCTGTATAGTGTGTAGTGCTTCAGTTGGGACTGAAAATATTTGCATGCCATCAGCTACTGGAGGCAGAGGAGTGTCCTTTCTGAGTGAGCCCTCCTGCATATTTTGGTCGGTGATCCCTGGGGGTTTCTAGATGATTCCTCATTTTGAAGATGAGAATCCACTTGAAAATAGCTAAGTGGAATAGTAGACATGGTAGTGGGACTGAATTTGAATAACGCACCTTGCTTTGGAGTCAAAGAGGCTGACCTGTCTCTGCAGAACTGCGAAGAGGATGCCAGACCTTTTGCTTTTGAAGCAATTGTTTTATGAATGTCTGCCTTATTCACCCTGTGACTGTGTAGTTAAGTTTAGGGAACTCCTCCATAGGCTCTGGGTACTGACCACTTCTCTTGCTTGGGTTTGGTTCCTTGTCTTCATCCAGAGAAAAAGGCGAAGAAGTCTGACTGTGGGGAATGGCAGTGGAGCGTCTGCGTGCCCACCAGTGGTGACTGTGGCCTGGGGACGCGTGAGGGCACTCGCACTGGAGCTGAGTGCAAACAAACCACCAAGACTCAGAAGTGTAAGATTCCCTGCAACTGGAAGAAGCAATTTGGAGGTAAGCATCGCTCTCTCAAGGGATTTGCTTTGGTTTTTACTTAGCTGTGGAGAAGGAAGCCTGTATTTTCTGCTTAGGTCTGCAAATGTCCTGGTGAAGGGGCTATTTCTGTATTTCATAGAATCATAGAATCATTTAGGTTGGAAAAGACCTTCAAGATCATTGAGTCCAACCACCAGCCATGCCCACTAAACCATGTTCTGAAATGCCTTGTGTACGCGCTTTTTGAATACATCCAGGGATGGTAACTCAACCACTTCCCTGGGCAGCCTGTTCCAATGCCTGACAGACCTTTCAGTAAATAAATTTTTCCTAATATCCAATCTAAACCTCCCCTGGCACAACTTGAGGTCATTTCCTCTCATCCTATCACTTGTTACTTGGGAGAAGAGACTGATACCCACCTTGCTACAACCTCCTTTCAGGGAGCTGTAGCGAGCGATAAGGTCTCCCCTCAGCCTTCTTTTCTCCAGGCTAAACAACCCCAGTTCCCTCAGCTGCTCTGCATAAGACTTGTGCTCTAGACCCTCCACCAGCTTCATTGCACTTCTTTGGAAACGCTCCAGCACCTCAAGGTCTTTCCTGTAGTGAGGGGCCCAAAGCTGAACACAGGACTCGAGGTGCGGCCTCACCAGTGCCGAGTACAGGGGACAATCACCTCCCTGCTCCTGCTGGCCACACTATTTCTGATACAGGCCAGGATGCCGTTGGCCTTCTTGGCCACCTGGGCACAGGCTGGCTCATATTCAGCCAGATGTCAACCAATACCCCCAGGTCCTTTTCCACCAGGCAGCTTTCCAGCCGCTCTTCCCCAAGCCTGTAGCGCTGCATGGGGTTGTTGTGACCCAAGTGCAGGACCCAGCACTGAGCGTTGTTGAAGCTCATACAATTGGCCTCGGCCCATCGATCCAGCCTGTCCAGATCCCTCTGCAGAACCTTCCTACCCTCAAGCAGATCAACCCTCCCTCCCAGCTTGGTGTCATCTGCAAACTTGCTGAGGGTGCACTCAATCCCTTCATCCAGATCATTGATAAAGATATTAAACAGAACCGGCCCTAATACTGAGCCCTGGGGAACACCACTTGTGACCTGCCGCCAACTGGATTTAACTCCATTCACCACAACCCTCTGGGCTTGTCCATCCAGCCAGTTTTTCACCCAGCTAAGAGTACACTCGTCTAAGCCATGAGACACCGGTTTCTCAAGGAGTTTGCCATGAGAGACCGTGTCAAAGGCCTTACTGAAGTCCAGGTAGACAATATCCACAGCCTTTCCCTCATCCACTAGGCGGGTCAGCTGGTCACAGAAGGAGATCAGGTTGGTCAGGCAGGACCTGCCTTTCATGAACTCATGCTGACTGGGCCTGATCACCTGGTTGTCCCTTTCAAGTTCATTGCTGCTAGAACATGTAAGGCATCAAAAGGCAGCTTCTTCAGAACAAAGCAGCTCCTCTGCAGAGAGTCCATGTAACCTACATACTGTTAACTCAGTGTTCCAGCAGTGTGTTTAAATCTTCTTTCCTGTGGTGTACAACCCTATTTATGGCAGCATGTAAGTGTCGTGTGTTCTCTCACAGCTGTGAATCTCTGTGATGGTTACTATAGGCTTTACGTGACCTCGCAATGTGCGATTTGCAGCGTGGAGCATAGGTGGCTACCAATGTGTGCATTGAAAGGAGTGAATGAATACCAGTGTATTTCATCTATATTTTTCGGTTCAGAAGGTTCATCTATAACAGTTCAGAAAGATATGTCAGATCTGTCCTGGACAAGATGTCTGTCAAGGACTCAGATCTGATTAGTCTTGCAAACTTGGCTTTTTTTCTAGTAAACTGCTTGTATGGGTTTGACATCATTGTGACCTTACCAAGGCAATCAGTGCAGCAGTTTCAGACTTGACAAGTTCATAGTTGCGCATACATTCTTGAAACTATTCACTCCTTATTTGGTAACCTTTGTCATTGCACAAATAGAAGAATCACCATATAGAATGTGAATGACGTTTCCCACTGCTGTTGTTTCTTTTTTTTTTTTTTTTTATTTTGTTGTCTGTCTTCATAGTTGTATGCATTTTCTTTTATGTGACAATAATATTCATGAAAAAGCAAGAGGATTCCATTTTAAAGGGTTTTTTTGGGGGGAAGACTGCAATTATCACTCCAAATTATCTTTAAATTTTTCTTGGGATTCCTTTCTTCAGTTGCATGATCCTTTTGTCTACAAGCACTGGCTGTCCATGATATCCTATCAGACTCATAACATTTTTGTTTTCACACTCAGTCATTCTGGTTTAACTATTGCCATTTATTTACTCATTGCAGCAGAGTGCAAATACCAGTTCCAGGCCTGGGGAGAATGTGACTTGAATACTGCCTTGAAGACTCGAACCGGGAACCTAAAGAGAGCCCTTCATAATGCTGACTGCCAGAAGACTGTCACAATCTCAAAGCCCTGTGGGAAGCTTACCAAACCCAAACCTCAAGGTAAATTCCATTTACTGAAGGCTGCACACCAGTTCATTTAAATCACTGGATTTGCGATGTCACATGTGCTTCAGTGGGAACTCAGTAGTACAGGAGATTGTACTTTTGTGGCCTTTCCTCAGTTCTGCACTGCTCCTGTCTCTCAGCGGTCAGGCAGACAATATTCCTGAGTTGTATAATTAGGGCAGTCTCACACACAAGAGGTAAGCTGAAGATCAGAGCTCCAATTTTAACCTTGGATGACCTGTACTGCTACCAGTTTGCTGATGTGACTTCCAGAGTACAGATGCTTTTCATAACTCACCTGTTGACAGGAACAGACCAATAATAACATGCAAAAATGTCTCCTGATAAAGACACCTTTTGTTTGGTATCAAATAATGACTAGTTGAAAAAAGGACTGCTTTCCTTCTGGACAGGTAGTATTGAAGGGATGTTCTGCTCACTGCATGCTGAAATATGTAGATATTCTGCACTCTTGGGGTTGTATATTCTTTATTCAAAGACAGCAGGAAGGAGAGTACAGAATATATACGTCTTATTTAAATGCAAGTGACAGTGTAATTCCTAGTACACAGAAAGGCATATGCCCTGCATTTATGTTTCCAGGTGTCCCTTAGACAAACTTATTTTCTTTCTGATCATTAAAGCCTTTTAATGTACTCTTTTGTTGGAGTAGCAGGTGTTATGTGTGTAGGATGATTTATAGTGGGAGCTAAAACTGTGAGATCTTGTTTGAGATACAGAAGTAATGTGTTTAAGTGGATTATACAAGCTATGCTACCCTGGCATTTGTTTGCTTAAAACCAGCTAGGTTTAACACATTCCAGGCTCTGAATACTTAGATAATTATAAAAATAAATGTGATTAGGAGTGACAGGTGCAATGGGGATGAACAATTTTCAAATTGTGGGTGGTGGTGCACCATTGATCTGAGGAGTACCTGCAGGTGGCCTGCTCTGCTTGTGCAACCACAGACATGTCTGATGAAGTTACAGACGCTTTCTCTGTGTGTGCATGCATCCATCTGCTTTGCAGTCAGTACAGCTGTAACTGGTCTTACTTGCACATCATGTGTGGAGTTATCTGATAAGTGCTGAGTCTAGAACCTGTGTAGATAATGACAAGCTGTGAAACAGAAAGGATACAACTAGATTTTCAGAGACCAGCTGACTTGGTTGAGTTGGCAGCAAGAAACACCTTCATTTGGGGATGGAAGTGACTGGGTGGGAATGCAGGAAGGGCTCTGAGCTGTGTGATTTTATTGCTTATTAGTTTTGGGGAAGGGATTTTTTTTTGTTGGGGGTGTTTTTTTTTTTTTTTTTTTAAGTTTCCATGCCTAACTGGCATTTGGGAGTTTATTGAATGAAGCTTCCTATTGTGCTGCCAGAAGGTCTCTGCCGCTCGAGCCACTAGTACTCCTCTGCCTTGTTCTGCTCCCGCTGAGTCAATATATTCTATCAATGGCTGTCAGAAGAGGGGAGAAGGAGACAAAGCAGAGCATTGATGCAGCATCGTTTTGTGAGAGCAATGCTGTTGGGTGGTATAGGGTCGTTTTCAAGCTATAGTTTTAAAGGCAGAGCTGAACTGGAGTTAACTTTAACAGATTCTATATATGAGTGAGTTATAACTGAAACTGAAACTCAGGTTGGGACTGACTGCAGCAAACATAGTTATGTGGTTTGACTTAATTAGGAAACCTGACTTCATTTGATTTGAAGGAATGCAAAAGGAGAAATAGGTACAAACTTAGGTTTGTGATCATAATAACTGTGGGCAGAAATTCTGCTCTCCTGATTTACGTTAGAAATCTCACAGCATCTTCCTGCATGCCACCTGCTCGTTCATCTGCTGTTGGCATTAGTAGAAGCAACACACATGGAAGTCATGCTTGCAGCCTGCCTGGGCCCTGAGCTAAAGATAAGAAGTCCATATTGCAGATCTGTGGGTATAACTACATGGGAGCTACACCGGACAGTGTGTTGGCAGCAGTAGGAGGAACTAGAGTAAGAAATCAGGTCAAGAAGATTAGTCCTGTGTGAAATGTTGTGCCCTACTGAACTTTATTTCTGAATTAAATATCTGAGTGCTGACACGTTAGCTGGAATAAGAATATTTGTTTTCTTCCTGAGGTGAAGGAAATTAAAGGTTGGAGGTAAGTCCCCACCCACATCTAGATAAAGGAAAAATAAAGCTGTATGCAATCTGTAGTTAGAATAGGACTCAATTTAATTCTTTGGAGATGAGAAGTAAGATCTAGATTATTGTCTGAGCACTTGGAACAGACTGCAGGCTCTCTTTTCACATATAGCTTTGCATCAATAGCTCAAGACTACAAGAGAAAAAGCATATGATACATTAGTTGGAAGCAGCAATTTTTTCTGAAGCACAGTGTTGCATAAGGTCTGTATTGATATGCAGCTAGACCTGTAAATGCTGATCCAGTGCCGTCGGTTCTTACTGTGATTGCCTGGAGTAGCAGGGCAGTGGCTCTCTGGCATTTGGGAGCTCTGGCAGCAGAATAGTAAGTGAGGAGCTTATTGACTACAGGAGTCCGTCCTACTGCTAAATGGTTACCTTTCCGTCTGGTGTGTGCTTCAAGAGCTGCATCACTGAATACATCTCTGACAGCGATTGGTTGGGAGTACCAAAAGCAGATGTGAACTGACTGAGAATAGTGCACTGAAAAATACTAGTATATTCAGAAAAAGGGCTGTTTTCATGATTTTCTTGATTAACCCTCTTCCTGTGCGCTGAAATTTTCCTTCTGTTAGGTGGTGTTTGTAACCTCTCTATTCCATCACTTTTCCTTTTGATTTCATATTGTAAATGGGGTGAGTAAAGGCCCCTATTTAGCTTCTCCGATCAATTGTAGTTTTATATATCTTCTGTTACTTTTTGTCACTTGCCATCTTTTAAGGCTAAAACCTCTGACTTAAATATTTTGTTGTATAACAATTTATCCACGACAAGAATACTCTCTGCTGGACTTACCTAGATTCCTTCTATTATTACAAAATCGTTTTTGAGATTAAGAGTCTGGACTGTATACAGTATTCCAAGCATGTCCTCTACAGATTTGTGTTGAAAAAGAAAAGATCATTGTAATACTTCCTTTATTGTTCATTACAGCCACTAAATAACCTAAATATGTTTTTCTTTTGATCTCTGTTTGCATGTGGAGTAGATATCTTTATCTGACACCTTCACAATTCTCCCTAACTCTTAAATTTTTTGAAGAAGTTAAGTAATCCAGTTAGTTAAGAACCCAAGAAGGTGTGTCGGTAAAACAGATTATTTCATCTAGGCTTGCCCAATGAAGTATTGTGTATTGGGTTTCATGTGACATATTTGCTTAGTGTGACTTGGTGTCTGAAATTCCTCCTTACCTTCTCTGTTCTTTGAGAAAAATGCAAATAAATTGATGTTATCTGTAACTGCTGCTCTCCTGTTGCTTATCCACCTTTCCAGCTCATGGACATGCAGCAACTTTGCTGATAGGATGAATTCTGTGTCTCTCCCCTCCTCTCACCTAACTTTTTCAAAGATGACTACTGTTTCATAGGCGTTTGATCTATGCTTAACAGAAAGGAAAATTATACCTGCAGAAAAATCCCAACGGTTATCATTTTGCAGATTTGCTGATAAAAGTATATTTTGGTTTTCCAGGAACTTCTATGAGCTGTGGCAAAACTTCTGCTAAATTAAACCAGAAGATACTAATTAACTTTGGGAATCAATGCCTGTCTCATAAACTGGTGATCTAAGTGTTCTTATGGATTTGTTTTATCATTAGTCAGCATTCATGGAAAAGCCTTAAAATCTCTTTGAAGCACTCTCATTATTTTGGAAACTAACAAAAAAAATAATTGTATTTTTTCCTTATTAGCAACTGCTCCGTCTCAGTATTTTTTCTTCTGAGCAGCTGACTCTAAGTATGAATTGTAGTCTGTGACATTTGGTCATTTTGGATCTCACTGCTTGCAAGAGGAGAATTATTAGAGAAACTCTGCTGTGTAATAAATTTAAGGGGGAGAGCAGATGATGAATCAAGAATTTGAATTTTATCTGAATTTCTAATGAGCTCTTTTCTCCATAGCTTTGCTGAGGTGTTCTCAGACTGGAAGACAATAGGTTGGTCCTGGGCTGCTGTGCTAAAGTGTAGTTAACACAGGATGAAAACTGTCGTTCATTCTTGAATATTGTCTATTTGGACAGAGAGTTTGTCAGCAACATGACAGTGATATCCCAGACACCATGGTTTGTGTATTTAGTACACAAATGAGGTCATGAGAAAGCCTGTCACAAAGGCTGGAAAGGATGAAAGGATAATTTTTATCACAAAATCCCAGTGGAGGCAGCCACCTCTCCTCTGGCACACACAATTGCATATTCTAATCAGTGTCTGCAAGGCTAGGATATGTTCAAGGTCTCCCTAAACTATCTTGACAGATGTGAAAGACTCAGGCACTTCTGTCGAGTGGCTGCTCTAATGGCCAACTTGCACTGAAGAGCAGAAAACGCTTCCGACATAGTCCATCTGGCCTACTTCACGGCCACCCAAACTTGATTGATGGTTGTTCGGGTTCCAGCCAGCCAGAAAGTAAAAGAATGGGGTATTGTCAGGATTCAGGAAACATTTTGCTTTAACCGCTGAGAGAGGAGGCATTTATTTTTATTGAGCTGGGTTGCCTGATAGGCTTTATTTCTTTTTTCACTCTTTCCGTCACTCTCATTCTTCCTCTCTCTCTCTCCATAACTCTTGTACTTTTAGCTATTTATTCTTCTGATTAAGATAAAATTAAATAGAATAGGCAGTCTGCCTGTTCTTTCTGCAATGTAACCTTCATTTTTTGAATTATGCTCCTTTCTGGTAACTTTTTCACCCGGCTTGCTTTAGTTCTTTTTAATAAATCTCCCTTTCCAACTTTTTATCAATTTTACAGTATATCTGATCTATGAGTTACTTTATCCTGGCTCAGCTCAGTCCTTGCACGTAG